CAAGCTAAGCCAAAGGGAGCATGTTATCCCTTTTGTCCTGTGAAGGAGCTGTGTGTGTGCATCCCTGGGAGGGAAGAAGGAAAGAAGTTGTGATTTAGATTACAGTAAACTAACAGGCTACCTCTTGAATACAGGCGATCCTTGTGTCACTCTCTGCTCTTGCCCCATAAATATGGATCCAGGTAAGCACCACAGCATGGGGGCTGTGAGGTGGAAGAAGGAAGAGAGAAGGAAGGAGAGTGGTGAAGCCAGTGTCATCAGTCAGCCATATCTACTGCACACCAAAAATATGGCTGTGTGTGTTTGTGTGAAGCTGGCGGTAGGATCCACAATGAAAACAAGCAACTTAGAACACATTACAGTTGAAGAAAAGTACTTCCCCATCCTTCATCTCACTAAATCTTCAACGTGAGGAATAACACAGTCAGGTGCTTGTCCCACTGCACACACGGGACCCCGGGGAGCTAGAGGCACATCCAGGATAAGGCCATGGAGGTGTGGCTGGGTTGGAGCTCAGAACCCAGCTCTCGGCAGCCATCGCATTGGCTCCCCCACAAGGAACAAAAGACCATCCTGACCTTTAAGAAAGAGCAGGCAATTCCCACCAAGGGAGCATTGTCCAACACCCAGGACCACTCAGCTAGGCTGCTGCAGAGTCAGCCCACTGTTCCCACGGCTGGGTAAGGAGATGGCTCAGTCCTCGTGGATTTTCCCCAGGAAGGCACCACAGGTTGAGCCTGAGAGATTTACACGTGGCAGGAGGCACGTGCAAAGGCCAAGCTCTGAGACCAGAAGGTCACAAGCAAGAGCCAAGAAACAGCTGAGAGGCTGAGCAGAGACAAGGGCTGAGATGAGCAGGACGAGAAAAAGGCAGTGCAGATTGGGAGGTTGGGGTGGGAGCATTCTGGAAGTGGAATAGAACAATCAGGGTTTGCCCTGGGAAGGGTCAGCCTCAACATCATGGACTTCAGCTGAAGTTGGGAGAACACAGACGTCACAGTGGGGACAAGAACCCACATGTCCTAACTGGCCCCACTGCACACAGGGAAACTCAACCAGGTCTTGAGCACATGGGGACACACAGCTGAACCTTGTATTGACTTTCAGTATAAGCCTGTTGTTGAGTGAATGAACGAAGGAATGACTCTTGGTGCACACGTGGGTTCACAGATCAGCGCTAGAGAGAAGACAGGATTTTCACTGCAGAACAAAATAACCACTGCTGCTCTTTTTTTCCCCTTCCTCTTCCACAGGTCCGAAGGTAGGAATGTTCCCCAACCCTCTCCTCTTTTTCCTCCCCATTGTCATACCCTCCAGACCTCCAGCCTCCTTCCTAAACCCTCAGAGAGCACCACCGTCTCCCCCAAATGACAAGGAGGGAACAGGCTCTGGCACCAGCCCAGTGCGGCCGGGCATTTCTGTTCCGCGTCCCCTGCTGGCTGCAGCCTTCTCCAGTCCTCTCCTCTGTTTTCCCATCTGTCTCTCTCCTTTCTTCACATCCCCTCCCTGCTCCAGCAGCCCATCCTCTCTCCTGCTGCTTCCCCACCTGTTCTATGCTTCTCTGCATTCCTGGCTACCCCCACAGCCTCACTGGATGGCTGGCTTGCTCCCAAGCCCCAACCACACTGCATGGGCCCTAGGACCTGCCTCTGCCAGACAAGGGAGGCTGCCTGTGCTCCACCTCTTCCCCGAAGTGGCTGCCACCAGCAGACCTAGGCCTGGATCTCTGTCACCCCCAACCCCCAAAAACAGGAGCCATAGCAGGAGAGCAGGTGGGATGGGAAATGGCTGTTTCCAGGCATCACTGAGCCTGGATGGGGCAGAGGCTGCTCTAACATGGTCAGCGAAAGCCTCCATCCCTGGAACCTGCCTCTTTCCCACTTGGAACAAGCCCTAATCAGGCCCTAGGAGGCAGAAGCAGGCTGTGGAGTTACCCAACCCCTAGGTAGAGGCATGGCCTGACTCCTGCTCCACAGGGCCCCAGGCCCCTAGTGCCCCAGCACAGGAGCAAGATGCTGTCTTGATCCTCCTCCCTGGGCCCGGGCAAGAGGCAAAGGAACTCCTCTGGCCTTGGGGCGGCAGGAGTGCTTCCAGCCAAGAAAATTAAATGACACTATTCCCAGGCCTCTTCTGGCTGAGGCAGTAAAGCTTTGACTTTATTTTCTATTCTTCCTGATTTCCTGGGTCTGGCACCTGCTCAGGAACAGGCATGAGCTCACACACACACCTATTCTCGTGTACACACAACCAGATATCCGGAGCTCCTATCTATGCACAAAGCAGGCTTGATTATGCACCCACCTCGTACACGGACACGGACATAGCTATTTGTATGTAAATGCAGTATACGCCTGTACACACAACCCTACACAGAGAACACACACATCACCACCTTGCCACCTCCCACCCTTGTTTTCCTATCTTGCTCCAGCTGTCCTCCTCCTCCTGCTCAGCTCCTGCAAGGCTCCCGACCCAGCCTCCTGTCTCCCCTGCCCCAGGCCCTCAGTGAGCGCCTCTGCAACCTCCCCCAGCCTCACCCTTGCCCCTAAATATGGTGAGCCTGCAATTTCTAGCATGGCAGAGCTTCTGATCACTCTGCAAGGGTTCCTGGGTGAGGTAAGGGAAGAGATGAAATAATTCTCTTTCTTAGATACAGATAAAATAATAATATAATATAATAATAAAATAAACCGAGGTCCAAGGAGTAGGAGTCATATCTCTCCTTAAGGAATAGAAACCAATAAATGTAGTTTGCTCCCCTTTTGTCTGCTTAGTGCTGTGGCTTCACCAAAGCAGAGGCCCATGGCTAGGAGCAACACTTGCTATCCCTGGCACCCACTTCTCACGACAACCCCTCGCTTGCCCAGGAATCCTGAGTCCACCAGGGAAGTGGGGTGAATGGGAGTTAACTCAGGGAAGACTGGCACTGACTGTGACTCTGACATTGTTCAATTGACTTTTCACAGGGGCACGGCCATGGTGGAGGACATGGTCACGGCCATGGCCATGGGCACCATGGAGGACACGGTCCTGGCCATGGCCATGGCCATGGGCATCTTCCAGGTCCTCATGGGCACACCCATGGCCATGGCCCAGGACCCCATTGTCACCCACCTCACCATGGCCCAGGGCCCCATGGTCCCTCCCCCGGACATGGCCCAGGACACGGTGGGCCTCCTCCTGGCTGTGGCCCACATCACTGAAGAAGAAGAAGAGACACAAGATGCGCAGCCTGAGTGAACTGCCCTGCTGACCTGGCATGGCGCCAGGAACCAGTATCTTCTTCTCCTAATAAACTGACTCCTGGAAGCTTTGTTCTATTCTTCAAAGAGCTTGTCTTCCTTCATATACAACATGGTGGTCAGGCGGCCTGGTTGTCTCTGAATTCCCTAGTTGTGACAATAGGGCACTTAGCCTGGCATTCTCAGAAGCTTGGCTCCGTTTTCTTCATACATGGCAGTAGAAGGTGACCTCTCTTTTGCTTTTCACTCTTGCCTCCTCCCATAATGGGGTCTCAAATGAGACCTCATCACCTATACCCCATAGTGTACACCCACATCTGATGGGCCTTCCAACGTTCCAACTTATATACCTCACTCTACAGATCAGAAGCCTTCAATGGCCCCCAACTGTCCACATGGATTTCTCACCATTCCCTGAAAATACATTGAACTTTCCACCCTCCTTAAGTTTCTTTACACAAACTCACACCCTGCCCCACAGCCCAGGTCAGGAATGCCTTCCCTGTCTCCTGCTTCCACATTTTCAAAGCCTACTCTTCCTTCCAATCCAGCTGAAGCTCCACCATCTCCACAAAGCCTGCCCTAAG